GTTTCAGTTCAGTTCCCAAGTCTGTTCTGCAGCCCTGATCCATCAGTTCCTCTCCTTCCTACTTTCTTTTGTGTGGCCCTGTATTAAGTCTTACTTTGTGATAACCTCTTGGGTCTGCTTGGGTTGATTCAGAGCCTTGAACCACAACATTAATTTTAGTTGTAGTTTTTTTTTTTAGTAAATTTTATACTGTTTTCTTCCCTTTTAAAAATATTTATTTTTAAAAGAATTTTATTTTACACACCAATCCCAGTCCCCTCTCCCTCCCATCCTCCCATTCCTCAACCATCTCCCCACCCCACACCCATCCACTGCCCAGAGAGGGAAATGTCTTCCATGGGGAATCATCAAAATCTGTCACATCATTTGGGGTAGGACCAAAGCCCTCCCCCCTGTATCTAGGTTGAGCAAGGTATCCCTCCATAGGGAATGGGCTCCAAAAAGCCAATTCATGCACTAGGGATAAATACTAGGGATAAAGCCCCACCCCACAAATTGACCAAGCCCCCCAAATGTCACCCACATTCAGGGGGTCTAGTTCAGTTCCATGCAGATTCCCCAGCTGTCAGGAGTCAGTGAGCTCCCACTTGGTCAGGTCAGCTGTTTCTGTGGGTTTCCCCATCATGGTCTTGACACCTTTGCTCATATTATAAATCCTCCCTCTCTTCTACTGGACTCCAGGAGCTCAGCCCAGTATTTAGCTGTGGATCTCTGCATTTGCTACAATCAGTTACTGGATGAAGGTTCCTGTGATGACATTTAAGGTAGTCATCAATCTGATTACAGGGGAGGGCCAGTTCAGATACCCTCTCCACTATTGCTTAGAGTCTTAGCTGGGGTCATCCTTGTGGATCCCTGGGTTTCTCTTTAACCCCATAATGGTTCCCTCTATCAAGATATCTCTTTTCTTGCTCTCCTTCTCTGTCTTTTCCCTAACTTGACCTTCTCAATCTCTCCTGTACTCCTTCCCCCACCCCCTCTCTCTCCTGGTCTCTTCCACTACCACCATGCTCCCAATTTACTCAGTGAAAGACCGAAAAATATAGCCTAGCCTGATACTCACTAGCATGTATTTGAAAATCACTCTGTCCACACACAGCTCTGGGACAAAGAACATATGAAATGGTCGGTCATGATGACCAGTCTCTGGAAATTATTATTACTAGTTTCTATTATCTTCAACAACTGTCTGGTTTCTAAACATTGTTATGGGTTACCCTGCTCCAGAGCACCCAAGTTTTGAAAATAAGTATAAGTCACTCTGTTCCCAGAAAAACCACTAGCTGTCCCATAGCCTTGCAGGTGTAAAAACCAAAATAACATTCCAAACCCCTCGTGGGCAAAATTATAAGTTCAGTACCCAACCAATCAGTAAATGACTCATGTATGTTATAGCCAATCAATATGTTGTTATACTACTGCCTAGTGACCAAAAAGACATAAAAACTGCCTGCTTTGGAAACTCGGGGCCATTCTCTTCCCAGGGAATGACCCCAATGTATTGGAATAAAATCCTTTTGCTTTTGCATCGAACTTGTGTCCTGTGAGTGACTCTGTGGGGTGCATCTCACGGAGTTGGACTTCACTTTTGGGTCCAACACTCAGGAGATCTTGTCTATTTCCCCTTATTGGGGGTGTCCATGTATGTCTCTCTTAGGGTCCTCCTTTTATCCTGGCTTCTCTGGGGTTGTGGATTGTAGGCTGGTTGTCCTTTGCTTTATGTCTAGTATCCACTTATGAGTGAGTACATACCATGTTTGTCTTTCTGGGTCTGGGTTACCTCACTCAGGATGGTTTCTTCTAGTTCCATCCATTTGCCTGTGAATTTCAAGATGCCATTTTTTTTAACACTGAGTAGTACTCCATTGTGTAAATGTACCACATTTTTTAAATTCATTCTTTGGTTGAGGGGCATCTAGGTTGCTTCCAGGTTCTGGCTATTACAAATAATGCTACTATGAACATAGCTGAATAGATGTTCTTGTGGTGTGAGTGTGCATCCTTTGGATATATGCTCAAGAGTGGTATTGCTGGGTCTTGAGGTAGATTGGTTACCAATTTTCTGAGAAACCGCCATACTGATTTCCAAAGTGGCTGTACAAGTTTGCACTCCTACCAGCAATGGAGGAGTGTTCCCCTTATTCCATGTCCTCTCCAGTATAAGCTTTCATTAGTGTTTTTGATCTTAGTCATTCTGACAAGTGTAAGATGGTATCTCAGAGTTGCTTTGATTTGCATTTCCCTGATGACTAAGAATGTTGAGCAATTCCATAAGTGCCTTTGGCCATTTGAGATTCTGCTGTTGAGAATTCTCCATTTTTTAATTGGATTGTGTGTGTGTGTGTGTGTGTGTGTGTGTGTGTGTGTTTGGTGTCAAGTTTTTTAATTCTTTGTATACCAGGCTGGCCTTAAACTCACAGTGATCTGCCTCCTGAGTGCTAGGATTAAAGGCATGTGCCATCACCACCCAGATATGTACTGTATTCAACAGTGGCTGCATCATTTTTCAGCCAACATTGTGGTAAGTGTTTATACCTCTTTGTATCTTTGACAAGAACATTGACTTTAGTTTTTAATACTAATATATTTGCATATTTTATACACTTTGTATTTTGTCTCCATCTATGTATATATGTGTGCCATGTGTGTGTTCTTGAGGTAGTCAGAAGTGAGTGTTGGATTCCCTGGAACAGAGTTATCAAAAGGTTGTGAACCACCATGTGGGTGCAGGGAACTGAACCAGGGTCTTCTGGAAGAGCAGCCAATGGTTTTTCTTTTTTGTTTGCTTGTTTTTTTTTTTTTTTTTTTTTTTTTGAGACAGGATTTCTCTGCATTGCTTTGGAGGTTGTCCTGGAACTTGCTCTGTAGACCAGGCTGGCCTTGAACTCACAGAGATCTTCGTGCTTCTGCCTCCTCAGTGCTGGGATTAAAGGCGTGTGCCACCAACGCCTGGCTACGCCACCAATGCCCAGCACAGCCAATGTTTTAAACTTCTAAGCCATCTCTCCAGCTCTATCTTTTGCTTTTGTTTATCTATTTGTTTTTTTACTATCTTTTGTTTTTGATAGTAGCTATCTTTTTTTTTTTAAGATATTTTTTATTTATTATGTATACAACATTCTGCTTTCATGTATATCTGCACACCAGAAGAGGGCACCAGATCTCATAACGGATGGTTGTGAGCCACCATGTGGTTGCTGGGAATTGAACTCAGGACCCCTGGAAGAGCAGTCAGTGCTCTTAACCTCGGAGCCATCTCTCCAGCCCGATAGTAGCTATCTTAACATGGCTGTGCTCCTGTATTGTGGTTTTGATTTATGAAGTCATTGACAACTTATTTTCACTGAGCATCTTATATACCTGTTGGCTATTTGTTTGTCTTCTGGGAGAAATGCTTATTCAGGTTCTTATTTAATTTTTAGATCAAATTGCTAGTATTTAGTTGTGTGAGTTCCTTAATGTTTTAGAGATTACCCGAGTTTTGATGTATAATTTTCAAACATAACATCTGATTTTGTGCCTATGTTTTTACTCTGCTGCTGTTTCTTTTGTTATGCATAAGATTTTTAGCTGGATGCTGCCTCACTTATCTATTTTTGCTTTGTGGTTCATGTATTTTGTGTCAGCCCTTGATTCCATTGCCCACACCAAGATCAGGAATATTTCCTCTTATTTTTTTTGTGGGCTTTTATCATTTTGCATCTTATGTTTAAGTCTTAAATCCATTTTAAAGATTTTTTATTACTTATGTGCATGTGTGTGTGTGTGTACATGTGTGTGTACACATATGTGTGGAGGTGCCCACAGATACTGGAAGAAACAATTGGATCCCTTTCAGCTGGAGTTAAAGGCTGTTGTAAGCCACTGAACAGGGGTGCTGAGAACTGAACTGCGGTCCTCTTGAAGAATAGCAGGTGCTCTTAATATTTGAGGCATCTTTCCAGCCCTTAGTCTTTAATACATTTTGAATTAAATCCCCCCACCAAGTATGTATGTGTGTACATGTGTGTACAGGAGTATGTGTGTGTGTGTATGCATGGAGAAGCCAGAATTCAACTATCAACCTGCTCTTCCCGAGGTCCTGAATTCAATTCTCAGCAACCACATGGTGGGAACCATCCGTAATGAGATCGGGTGCACTCTTCTGGCCTGCAAGCATACGTGGAGGCAGAATGTTGTATACATAATAAATAAATAAATAAATAAATAAATAAAATCTTTAAAAAAATTCTGAGCACTGTGGTGAGTTTTCATTTGGCTTAGCAACAACAAAATACAGAAGAAAAATTCTACATGTCGCCAACTATAAAGCTTAAAACATTATTATTATTATTTTTTCCATTCATAACCTGGTTGTACAATAAGGAAACTGGAGCCCACAGAGCTGGGGAGCCTTTTCTACTATTACATATGGTTCTATTGGTAAAGCAAGCCCAGAATTATAAGAACATCATATGGACAGTGTTTAGTCTTTAGATTTGTCGATACTATGTTCTCATATTGGATATATTAATTTTTAGCAACTTACAGTTTTTTTCTCTGAATAATCACAATGATGATGCTTAGTATGAAGTACATGAGTTAATCTATCCAAATAGGTCTATAATAGCTGCCCAGCTCGGCTTCTCTCCATTCCTGCCCAGGGCATAACATTGCTTTATGTGATACAGCTTTATTTTCAGAAAGACAGAAGCATGCATTTTTCTCTGGAAGTCAAATCAGACTTAAGATATCAGACCACGTGTCTCCAAATGCTAAGGACATTCGTGCTCTATGCTTGTCATTCCACCATTACCTTATTATAATTAGTTGGTTTATTTGTTGTGAGACAGGATTTTCCTATGTAGTTTGTTCTGGCTTCCAACTTGCAATCCTTCTGCCTCCCGAGTACTGGAATCATATGATCACACCCATATGCCTGGAATCTTCCTAATTAGTAATAGCATCCCATTTCACTTTCAGAAGTGCCTTGATCTAAACAAACCTCAAGATCACCCTCCCTAGAACTTTCTCAGTGCCTTCCTCAGAGCGTCTTTCAGTTCCTTGTTCCTCATACTGTAGATCAAAGGGTTTAAAATGGGCGTGATAAAAGTGTAGACCACAGACACCATTCTGCCCATCTCAGGAGAGTAGCTGGACCTGGGGGACAAATATATAAAACTGGTACAGCCATACTGCAGGAGGACCACTATGATGTGAGAAGAACAGGTAGAGAAAGCGCGATGGCGCCCTTCGGCAGACCGGATCCGTAAAATGGCTGTGATGATGAAGACATAGGAGACAGAGATCAGAGATAGGGGGATGCTTAGGACGATGAAGCTGATGATATACAGGGCAGTCCTGTGAACGTGTGTGTCTGCACACGCCAGGCGCATGACAGCAGGCATGTCGCAGTAGAAGTGGTAGATCTCATTGTTATGGCAGAACGGGAGATGGAAGATTAAAATAGTCAGTGGCAATGACAACAGAAATCCCAGCACCAAGGATCCCACCATCATCTCCACACACAAGGACCAGCTCATGATGAGTGTATATCTCAGAGGATAGCAGATTGCGACAAATCTGTCGTAAGCCATGACTGCAAGCAGGACACAGTCAGCTCCACCCAAGAAGACAAAGAAAAACATCTGGGTGCCACAGCCAGTGATGGAAACAGGTGTTTTGCCCATAGAGAGAAGATTTACCAGGGCCAGTGGTGCAATGGATGATGTATAGAAGATTTCCAGAACTGCTAAGTTAGCTAGGAAAAAGTACATGGGGGTGTGGAGTGAGTGGTTAATATGGACAATCACAGCAATTGTGGCATTTCCACTGAGGCTGGTCAGGTACATCACTAAGAAGGCCACAAAAATCACTATTTGCACCCCAGGGTCAGGTGAGAATGGACGAAAGAAGAATTGGATCCTGGCTGTTTTGTTTATTGTTTCCATGGGAGTGTACAAGACCTACCTCAAAGAGAAATGACAGCAGTCTCAAGGTATCTCTCATTGAATATGATATCCCCCAAATCCTCCATTTACTGGTAGATAACCTTCCAAGGCACCTCAGCAACAGCATGCATAGTTTATTTCATAGGAGTCCACAGAACAAATGACCTATACATTTGCCATCCTCTCATCTCACTTTCTTTTCTCTCCAGGTACCAAAGACTGAGAAATCCTCAGTGATGGGAGCTTTGATGACATCTGAATGCAGTGTGTACGTAGAGGAGTGCCCCAAAGTATGTGCTGAACAAAACAATGAATAAGACCAATTTATAGTTCAAAGCTGCAAGATAGAGAAACAGGATATTGATTCATTCTATGAAAATTAAAAAACGTTAGAACTATATAGGCAAATGTGCATCATAATTTAGAGAGAATTATGCTACTGGCATTTTATGATACTCTATCATATATCTCTTGTGTTTTTCAAACCTAGAGTCTTTATTGTTTCATTTTGCTTTGGTTGTTGTTTGTTGAGAAAGGTTCTCCTGTAGCCCAGGATGGCCTCAGACTCACTATGGAGCTGAACCTGGTCTTGGACTTCTGTCCTTCTGCCTCCACCGCCTGAATGCTGGGATTACTGGTGTGGACCACTATTCCCAGTTTTATGGCATACTAGTGTTTCATACCTGCTAGGTAAGAACTCTACCAAGAAAGTTGAATCACTGGCCCTGAGTCTGCCTTGTTTTTCTTTTTCTTTTTGTTTAATTTATTAACAGCCAAAGGGCATTCATGGGGCTCTGTTCCCATGGTATGATTCATAACCAAAGAGGGAATTTTCTTCTTTTTTAAAAACTATTTATTTATTATGTACACAGTGTTCTGCCTGCATGTTTGCTTGCAGGCTGGAAGAGGACACCAGATCTCATTATAGATAGTTGTGAGCCACCATGTGGTTGCTGGGAATTGAATTCAGGTCCTCTGGAAGAGCAGTCAGTACTCTTAACTTCTGAGCCATCTCTCCAGCCCCCATGCCTTGTTTTTCTTAACAGGATGATTTCTAGTTCTATTAACTTTCCTGAAAATGTGACTATCTTTTTATTGCTTAAATGTCAATCTTCATATACGTCTGCCAATTATTTTAATCTTTCTTGAACCTCACTGTTCTAGTCCAATTCCATGTTGACACTGAAATAGTCATGTTTGTACCATGTGATTTAGTCTAATCTGGGTCTTGCTTCTAACTCCATACACTTCCACTCTCAATCTCCTCTCTTCTGCATAGTCTAAAGTTCATCCAATTTTTCAAATTCTAGGTTCTGTTCTTCTATGAAACTACCATAGAGTACTGTAGTTCAAAGTTCTCCTTCTGAAATTATTTATGACTGTGATTTAAATGACATTACATTGCCTCTTCTTGTATCATTATCTTGTATCATATATATATATATATATATATATATAAATATTCAATGCAGGGTTTCTCTTTGTAGCCCTGGCTGTCCTGGAACTCACTCGGTAGACTAGGCTGGCTTCGAACTCAGAGATCCGCCTGCCTCTGTCCCCCAAGTGCTGGCATAAAGGCATGGGCCACTACCACCCAGCTCCCAATTATATTTTTTGGTTTTCCCAAATTGGGACTGGGTTCTGAGGTCAGGATTTTGTTCTTATGACAAATAGGCATGATGAAATATGTTTTATTAAGAATTTTCTCACTTAATCCATAACAGTACTTCAGTAGGCAAATATAATTGACATCAAACCAATCACAGGTGGAGACACCCACAGGAGATTAAGGAAGTCAGGAACTCAGAAAAGCATAACTTCCCTTTCCTCTTTCTGTCTCTTTCCTATGCATGCTTCCCTGACACTCTGGGTTTCCTTGCTCTTTCTCTTGACCTCTTATTTAGTCCCCCTTTGTCATGCTGGTGCTCTTCTGCTGTGTGACTGACCTTCATTGCAGAACTTAACTCTAAATTAAGAAAGTTAGTGACATACAAAGGTGGGAGAGGCACAACGTAAATGACATGTAAATGAAATAAGGCGTGGCCCAGCACTTGAACACCGGCTTTTCTCTCATTTCACTATCCCACTCCCATTCTCAAGAACACATTCCCTTTGTCAATAAACTGTCTTTATGTTTATTTCTAAACAAATAAATAGGAATAAAGAAAGAAAAAGAAGGTCTTGCAAATCCAGAACAGTAACACAGGAAAGCCATGGTTTGATCAATTTGGTTACACAACATTTCTGCCTTACTATTCATCTGTTAAGTTGCTTTATTGAGTGGTTGACTACAGTTCAGCCTTAGGAAGAACTCTGGGTGGTCATTGTGGGGAAAATACAGCTAAGATAAAGCTAAGGACAAAAATGTTAAGCTACAGTGTTTTTAGACTCAAGATACTGCCACAACCTAGACTGTGACTTATCCAGTAAGGTCTCCCCACCAATGCAGCAGAAAGAACCTCTGTTCTTTGTCTCCTGATGATTGAGGGGAAAGTATTTGTCTAAAGGCTATGTTGTTTCAGGGCAGAGGGAGAGTGGTTTAATTTATCCTTCATGAGTGACAGAACGGTAATGAAGAAAAGAATTCTCTGTGAGCTAGGACCTGATGGCTTGTTCGATGCCCCAAGAATTTTCATTAGGTGTCTAGGATTTGAAATGCATGCCTCCTGGTTGCTAAGATTCTAGTTCAAAACCCAGAACAGTATCTTGAAATTAAAGCTAATCCACACACAATGAACTACCTAGTTCACTGGGACTCTAGAGATGAGAGGTCTCAGTGGTAGCTTCTATCATGTTCTCTCTAGCCCTCTTAGGCTCAGGAAGTCCCCTTTTAGGCAAAAATGTACCTAATTTCAAGTCAGTTGTGTTTCAGTGACTATATAGGTTTCATTTCCTTACAAAGCCTAGAGAAAAGGAGAAGACAATCATTGCAAAATATTGCACAATCCAGGATACTTCACTAAACAAAATAGAACCCCAAGCATCATAATGCTGGTATATCACCCATCTTAATTTCTTTATGAAAATGCTTCACACTCATCATTTCCCCTCCTACCTGGAGATGAGGCAAAACTGTAAGTTAGGTCATATATGGAAGCAGAGTTAACTTTAGCATCTATGAAGAGATTTTGCCATTGCAACAAAAAGGCAATCTAGAAGCAGCCTTTGAAACATGATCCAGAATGTTTAGACACAGAATTCTTTTTTTCTATTTTTTAAATAGAAATTTAAATTAGAAACAAGCTTCTTTTACTTGTCAATCTCAGTTTCTTCTCTCTCCCCTCCTCCCCTGCCCCCGCCCCCCACCGATCCCCATCCCACATCCTTCCCAGACACAGAATTCTAACCATATATGGCAAAACAATGAGTCAAACATTGGGCAATTTGAAAAGGCAGAGCTCTAAACAGTGCTGATTTCATTTTTCACATAAGAATTGAGGCAACAATGAATACATGCATCCTTACCCAGTTGGAATGTATTATGCTCTAGGATCTAAACGGTACAAAGCTGTGTTCCTAGAAAACTGAAGTTACAGGATCTTCTAAAGATCATTTTTAATTTGAAAAATTGGGGGCAATAATTTTTATATCAAAACAAACATTGGTTTGTTTGTGGAACTTTGGGAGGATAAAAACTTTAAGACTTTAAGTAAATGTTTTGTTTTTTTCCCTGGTGGCTGATGACTAAATTCTTAGTGTAAACTATCTTGCTGCTGACTAGGGCACTTGAATGCAAAGGTTTTAGGAGCATTGGTTTAGAGCATTGATTAATTATCACCTAGTGCAAGACACCATTCCCCAAAGTTTTCAAGTCCGGAATCTTCACTTGAAATAGCTCCTCTCTTACTATTTTTAAAGAAAACAACTAAAGTAGCAGGCAATTTCTTCTGAGACAGATACAGCTCAGAAAAAAACTCCCAAGTGGCCTCTCCTTTTTAAAAAGAAAGATAGTTTATTATTATCTTTTGAGACTATTCACCAGCATGAACCAAGAACAACAGTTTACAAGTTCTTTGCTGGTCGTTTCACCCATGTAACAGTTGGCTCGTGGCCTCAGAAACTCCTAGATGCCTGTAGAGAGAGACTTCTGTAGGTCACCCAGTCTATCTCTTCAAGGAAGAGAGTGTTTGATTTGTCCAACATTTATAATGGATCAGTTTGAAAATAAGTCATTTAAGTACACAGTATGCTAAAGGAGACTCAAAGATGACAGAGATGCCATCTCCTCTATGGGATCGATGGGGCAACACCATTTGCCAATATGTTTGCATAATCCCACCCAAACATTTCAAGAGAAAATCTCAGTGGCTTTAGGGCAATAAAACCACCTTCTTGATTATATAATGTACCCACCCAAACATTTCAAGAGAAAATCTCAGTGGCTTTAGGGCAATAAAATCACCTTCTTGATTATATAATGAATTCCAGCTCTCTCTCTCTCTCTCTCTCTCTCTCTCTCTCTCTCTCTCTCTCTCTCTCTCTGTGTGTGTGTGTGTGATATGTATGTTCCTGTATATTATATAAATTTTGGAGTGATGTTTCCAGGGGACATGGCAGAAAGTAGGCTATGATGGAATTACATGGGATGTGTTAGAATTCCATCTTTGTTACTTAACTACTTTTGTAATCTTGTAAACCAGTTTACCTTATCTCCTTAGACTAGCATCTCACCTATTTCTAAGGCTATAGCATAGATATGGACTCACCCTAGTGGGGGGAGTAAAAGACTAGTTTGCTGATTCTGATTATGAGATGAGCAGAGAAGAGGGAACAACACCATAACCATAATAGCCGGGGCAAAAGCTCTGCCTGCAACACAGCACATGGTAGCTTCAGGAGACACACTGGCTGCTGCTGTCAGAGAGGAGCTGCTGAAGTCTAGTTAACAGCAAGAGAGGACAGGAGGCTGGGAAAATGGAGATAAAACAAATTGAACCCTTCTGCTATTCATTAGCCTGTTTAATTATGCTTTTGTTTTATAATGATCTTGTTAGAAAAGG